AAGTTTAAATAAACTAAACTGAAAAAAGCATTAGTTTTCTAAAAAAAATTCTTACCCCAAATCCTCCCCTTCAAGGTTTTTTTTTTTTTTGTTTTTTTTTTTGATAATTTTCCTTCTTAGGAATTTGATAAAGCTGCCACACGACAAGTTCAGCAGATGTTCAGACACATTGATGAGCTTTTATATGAACAGAAAGAAAGTGTGCATGTTGAGGGTCTACAAGAAGAGTGTCAACAATGGACATCTTGCTTTCCTCATCTCAGGTATTTTATTGATCAAATAATGATAGTAATGTCATAGAACTATTAAAAATTATTAGTGGTGAAAGTGATTGTGTTTTTAAACACTGTTAGAATTGAACTGTGTGTGATTATACAATATGTGCAAATAAAATTCTGTCTCTGCTCCCACCCTTCTCCCCACCATTGCAAGGCTCATATTTAGGTGCTTAGAAGACTCTTGATATTTTCCATTTCATTGGGCCCTAAAATAGCAAACATTTTCTTAGAAAAAGTTGCAAGGTATTTTTTCTTAGATGTGATGGATGTTTGTTTTTTGAAATACTTAAATCCAAAAATCCATCTCTTCTCCATAAATGAATAGATTGCCAGTTGTGGTGATGTTTGGAGACTTAAACCTTATTCTTACATTTAACAGATTTGCCAGTGCTTTAGAGCATTAATGTTAGGAGAAGAGAAAGCAAAAGAATTCTCTTATCATACATGCACGATACCATGCAATATGTGTAGAGAAAATACCTCAAACTACATTAAAATATAATCTGCAAAACAGGAAATTTTCTTATTTGACAAGTATATTTTCAAAGCTGTGTGTGTTAGATACATGCAACCTTGCTATTTCTATTAGGGATGTAAAGGACTGGTCAACTATCTAATAAGCAAATGCTTATCGGATAGTCAACAGGATAGTCGTCTAGTCACTATTAGGCATGTGAATTGTTAACCAGTTAACTAGTGGGTGCACCAGCATCCAAAGCATCCTCAATACAAGGTGGGCCTGGGTACCCTCCCCTCCTCATGGAGCAGCCCCTGCCTGTGGTGTGGGGGCTGCTCCAGCCCAGTGGCAGACAGGAAAGGGGCACTCTCCCCCTCCCCCCGCTTCTTTCCCTTTAATCAGTTAACTGGTTAAACAGTTAAATAGGATTTTATTTCTCTAACTATGGTGTTCATATGGCTTTCTAGTACACTTATCTTTATTTTATTTTATAATAAATCATCCATTTCACGTATCACATTTTCTGATTTTTTAAAAATTTTCTTTTTGATGTTATAGGATTCTAGGAAAGCAGGTAATAATTCCCACAGATGAAGGTTTTGGGTGGTATTCAAGTTCACCTAGCAGCTTAGGTTCATTGGATGTCAGCCCAGTCCAAGAAAAAGATTCTAGTGAGTAAGTATCAGTAGAGTTCCAGATTGTATCAATGCATGAGGGTGATTTCTGCTCAAGGATTGCAACAATCAATTTCTTTTCTTAATGTATGAGTTGCATAGGAAGTCAAGCTTCAGCATATTCTTGTTTGGTAGTTTTTTGGACAAAGCATGGAATAGTAGCCAAAAGAAATGTGTTAATAGATTCAGAATAGTTAGATCTTCCAGATGAGTGTGTTGCTGAGATGCAATAAAATTCAAATTGACCTAATAAATTGATAACTTTTTGAGAATTTGTATATACAGGTAGTCCCCGAGTTACGCGGATCCGACTTATGTCGGATCCGCAGTTACGAACGGGGATTTTCTCGCCCCGGAGGACTCGAGCGGCGGGACGCCTGGTCCCGCTGCCCACCTCCTCCGGGGCGAGAAAAGCTGCTCCCCGTCTCCCTGGTCTGCTGCGGGAGCCAGCAGACCAGGGAGATGGGGAGCAAAGCGGCGGAGGGCCCGGGGGCCGGCCCGCCGGCCGCGT